ATGATGGTATTAAGTGAGGTGACGGGCTAATTTAATCAAGATTGGGAAAAGATTAAAAGATGACTAACACAAAATAGATTAAATTAGGTGATTAGCTGACAAAAAAAAAGCACATCCTAAAATATTTTTTGAACACCCGACGGAATTGATTGTAGCTCATGGTAAGTTCGAAATTCTGAATCGACCAAATGTAGCTTACGGTTGGAAGCTTGAGGTAAAACTGGGTCCTACCACCTCCCCCCTCCCCCTCCCCCTCCCCCCCTCCCCCTCCCCCTCCCTCCCCCCTCCCCCCTTCCCCCCCCCCTCCCCCACGGTGAGACGAGTGTCAGAAGCAACAGTGGCCTGAGATCATACACGGTCGACCAATCACCGAGCGTGAAATGGCCGACTGGAGTTAGCTGGCCTGTCATAAATGACTCAGACCTCTCTGACCCCGACTACCGCTCAGATCATCTGGAAATGATCTTTACGCTCGAGGCGATCGAGCTGAAATGATCTAAAGATCATAATCATTTATTCCCATCCGCCTGCTCCTCACAGAAGGCGTTCATCTGCTGCTCTTTCAAATCTCGTTTTGATTTACTTCCGGTTCCGGACATTTTTTGGGTCAAGTTTTTTTTTTTTCTTACAGCAAGGCTAAAGGCGCTGTAGTTACACTAGTGGACTAGAGTTGCTGTGGTACACTGGACCAACCTTATACGATACAACATCAACCAACCCTGTACAATACAACATCACCAACCCTGTACAATACAACATCACCAACCCTGTACAATAAAACATCAACCAACCCTGTACAATACAACATCACCAACCCTGTACAATACAACATCACCAACCCTGTACAATACAACATCACCAACCCTGCACAATACAACATCACCAACCCTGTACAATACAACATCACCAACCCTGTACAATACAACATCACCAACCCTGTGCAATACAACATCACCAACCCTGTACAATACATCATCACCAACCCTGTACAATACAACATCACCAACCCTGTACACTACAACATCACCAACCCTGTACACTACAACATCACCAACCCTGTACAATACAACATCACCAACCCTGTACACTACAACATCACCAACCCTGTACAATACAACATCACCAACCCTGTACACTACAACATCACCAACCCTGTACAATACCAGAGCAGTGTTTCTGACCAACCCTTTAAACTACAACATCCACCAACCCTTAGGTTACACCATTGAACAACCATGTACGCTACCAAAGCAGTGTTTCTTTCATACATGTTTTTTTCTATTTAAATTTACATTTTATTTCCTTCGTGTGGGGTGTTGGGCATTCTTCTCCCCCCCCCCCCCCACCCATAGAGATGCCTGACATCCATAGGCTGACAGAGATAACACGTCACACATAAGACGTCACTTCCTGTCACCCCCCCCCTCCGCAAAACGACACGTCACACATATTCCACTAGCAGACGTCCGTGTATCCAGCACGGCAACCGTTTTCTCACCCCCCCCCTCCACAGAAGCATTTAAGTATCACGTGATCTCGACAAGGGAATGACGCGACTACTGACATACTCTGCTCATAGTAGTGCCTTACTCACTGCCCCCCCCCAACCCCCCCCCTAGGTGTTCTTTCCCTCCTCCCCCCCCCGTGTACTTTAAGAATTACTCTTAATTTACCCCTTCTCTCCATCCCCCACCCCTCACCCCACCTCCATACAATCTCTTACTATCTAATCACATGACCCAACTACTACGGTAGAAAAAAAAACCGATTCCCTCCCTTAGATGGCTACATGCAAGCAGCTTCACCTAATGCTATGTTAATTATCTCCCATTGGCCTTATTCAGTGCGCTTATGTCCCTTGTATAGCTCAATAAATGCCAGCCCGCGGGTATGAAAACACGTGTTGGAATAGACGACACTACGTACATTTGATCGTCTGCTGGTGGCTGGGGCGGGGTGCAGGTGGGGGTAGAGACGGAGAGAAAGATGGGGGATGAATGAAACTTGTTCGTGGGGAGGGGGGGTAGAGACGGAGAGAAAGATGGGGGATGAATGAAACTTGTTCGTGGGGAGGGGGGATGCGCAAGGGACGGATAATGAAAACTGGAGCAGGGGAATTAATTCCTGGAAAAATAGCGTTACTTAAATACACCGCTGTGTCTAGAGAATCCGTGAGGGGAGGGAAGCTATTGAAAGACAACCAGCCAGGGGAGGGAAGCTATTGAAAGACAACCAGCCAGGGGAGGGAAGCTATTGAAAGACAACCAGTCAGGGGAGGGGAGCTATTGAAAGACAACCAGTCAGGGGAGGGAAGCTATTGAAAGACAACCAGTCAGGGCAGGGAAGCTATTGAAAGACAACCAGCCAGGGGAGGGAGCTATTGAAAGACAACCAGAAACCTGTTGCTCGGAGTGTGAGAAAACTGTGACCGGAAAGATGCGCATCGTAAAGTTGCGCAACTTAAAGTTGCGCAACAGAAAACTGCGCAAAAAGCAAGGGCAGTTTTTGTTCTTAAATCGAGCATTTATAGACATTAACAAAGAATGGCTACTCTATAGCATAATAAAATATATTTCCACGAAATATAGCAAAATTAATTTGTATTATACATTTTTCTATAAACCGTGCTGTGTCCAGTAAGATTTCGATCTCTTCTAAAGTTGTATTTTCTTTGACGCTTTGTGATTCAAAATACTGGGTTTTACACTTACCATTACAATGACCTTTGGGGTCGTCCATAAATGACATCACACTCTTAGGGGGAGGGGGGTCCGTAATTTTGTGATGGTGTGTGATGAGGGGGAGGGAGGGGGGGTTCAGATGGTGGGACGTCACACTTTTGCATTATAAAAAAGCAATGTTTAGCCGTTATTTCGCGTTTTAGAAAACTGTTTTAATAAATTGTAATAGGAGTTCAGACAAGATTTTGGAAAAATATCGATGTTTTAAGAAAAATTAAACAGCAATTTCGAGGGGGGTTGTAGGCTGAGGTGTGACGTCATTTTAGGGGGGGGTCTGGCTTTTTGTGGCGACGTGTGACGGAGGGGATGGGGGGGGGAGGTAAAAATCGTCAAAAAAAGCGTGACGTCATTTATGGATGACCCCTTTTACAATGACCTTTTACAAAGACCTTTTACAATAACCTATAACAATGACCTTTTACAATGACCTTATACATTAGCCTACCTCGGTAAAATTCTAATATGTACCTGTCTAGAGGCCAGGCCACGCCTCAAAAACCCAACACAAAATCGTCATTTAAAAAGTGTTATGGTGGAGGGGAGGTAACTGAATAAATTATGCTGGTATTAGTTTGACATGAGTTTTTTCCCTTGAACATCTCAGCTGGAGAGACGATGAGCTGCGAGCAAGAGAGGAAGACGGACGAGCTGGGGTCCAAGCGCTGCTCCAAGAGATGCACGTCTGATCTCGACTGTATGAGTGCCAGGAAAAAGTGTATGTGTGACGGCAGGTGCGGCAAGAGCTGTATCAACCCCAGTAAGTCTAGTCTGTCACGTCTAGTCTGTCACGTCTGGTCTGTCACGTCACGTCACGTCTAGTCTGTCACGTCACGTCTAGTCTGTCACGTCACGTCTAGTCTGTCACGTCACGTCTAGTCTGTCACGTCTGGTCTGTCACGTCACGTCACGTCTAGTCTGTCACGTCACGTCTAGTCTGTCACGTCACGTCTAGTCTGTCACGTCACGTCTAGTCTGTCACGTCACGTCACGTCTAGTATGTCACGTCACGTCTAGTCTGTCACGTCTAGTCTGTCACGTCTAGTCTGTCACGTCTAGTCTGTCACGTCACGTCACGTCTAGTCTGTCACGTCACGTCACGTCTAGTATGTCACGTCACGTCTAGTCTGTCACGTCTAGTCTGTCACGTCTAGTCTGTCACGTCTAGTCTGTCATGTCTAGTCTGTCACGTCGTCTGTCACGTCTAGTCTGTCACGTCTAGTCTGTCACGTCGCCTGTCACGTCACGTCTAGTCTGTCACGTCAAATCAAGCCTGTCACGTCTATTCTGTCACGTCTAACATGTCACGTCTAGTCTGTCACGTCTAGTCTGTCACATCAAATCAAGTCTGTCATGTCACGTGTGTCCACAGATCTCAGATGCTACCCTACCCCACAAGACATCCCACACGGTCGCGTAGAGATCAAACCTTACAACAAGTGAGTACTGTGTGAGTGTGTGTGGGGGTGTGTGTCAGGGTGTTTGGGGTGTGTGGGTGTCAGGGGTGTGGGTGAGTGCGTGGGGTGGGTGAGGTGTGCGGGTTGGGGTTGTATGGTGGGTGTGTGTGTGATGAATGAGGTTTGTGGTACGATTACTGACATGATGACAGTGTGACTGACATGATGACAGTGTGACTGACATGATGACAGTGTGACTGACATGATGACAGTGTGACAGTGTGACTGACATGATGACAGTGTGACTGACATGATGACAGTGTGACTGACATGATGACAGTGTGACTGACACGATGACAGTGTGGTGGTGTGACTGACATGATGACAGTGTGGTGGTGTGACTGACATGATGACAGTGTGGTGGTGTGACTGACATGATGACAGTGTGGTGGTGTGACTAACATGATGACAGTGTGGTGGTGTGACTGACATGATGACAGTGTGACAGTGTGACTGACAAGATGACAGTGTGGTGGTGTGACTGACACGATGACATGATGACAACCCACCCCCCCTAACCATCAGAAGTCCCTGTACGACCTGCAGATTTGAAGCAGTCGCCGCCTACACGTGCAATGAGGGCTACACACTTGTGGGTCTACCTGCACGTGTTTGTCAGGGGGACGAGACCTGGATGGGACCAGAGCCGCACTGTGAGCCAAACCACGGACTTATGGGTAATGTCATTTCTTTATGGCGGCCAATGGATGGGTGAGAACTAGAACACACCTAGAACACACCTAGAACACACCTAGAACACACCTAGAACACACATAGAACACACCTAGAACACATCTTGAACACATCTAGAACACACCTAGAACACATCTAGAACACACATAGAACACATCTAGAACACATCTAAATGACACCTAGAACACGTCTATAACACATCTAGAACACACCTAGAACACATCTAGAACACACCTAGAACACACCTAGAACACGTCTATAACACATCTAGAACACACCTAGAACACATCTAGAACACACCTAGAACACACCTAGAATACATCTAGAACACACCTAGAACACATCTAAATGACACCTAGAACACGTCTATAACACACCTAGAACACACCCAGAACACACCTAGAACACATCTAGAACACACCTAGAACACACCTAGAACACACCTAGAACACGTCTATAACACATCTAGAACACACCTAGAACACATCTAGAACACACCTAGAACACACCTAGAACACACCTAGAACACATCTAAAAGACACCTAGAACACGTCTATAACACATCTAGAACACACCTAGAACACACCTAGAACACATCTAGAACACACCTAGAACACATCTAGAACACATCTAGAACACACATTGAACACATCTAGAACACATCTAGAACACATCTAGAACACACCTAGAACACACCTAGAACACGTCTATAACACATCTAGAACACACCTAGAACACATCTAAAAGACACCTAGAACACGTCTATAACACATCTAGAACACACCTAGAACACATCTAGAACACATCTAGAACACACCTAGAACACACCTAGAACACGTCTATAACACATCTAGAACACACCTAGAACACATTTAAAAGACACCTAGAACACGTCTATAACACATCTAGAACACACCTAGAACACATCTAGAACACATCTAGAACACACCTAGAACACACCTAGAACACATCTAGAACACACCTAGAACACACCTAGAACACATCTAGAACACATCTATAACACATCTAGAACACACCTAGAACACATCTAAAAGACACCTAGAACACGTCGATAACACATCTAGAAAACACCTAGAACACATCTAGAACACATCTAGAACACACCTAGAACACATCTAGAACACATCTAGAACACACCTAGAACACATCTAGAACACATCTAGAACACATCTAGAACACACCTAGAACACACCTAGAACACATCTAGAACACACCTAGAACACATCTAGAACACACCTAGAACACACCTAGAACACACCTAGAACACATCTAGAACACATCTAGAACACATCTATAACACATCTAGAACACACCTAGAACACATCTAAAAGACACCTAGAACACACCTAGAACACACCTAGAACACATCTAGAACACATCTAGAACACGTCTATAACACATCTAGAACACACCTAGAACACACCTAGAACACACCTAGAACACATCTAGAACACATCTAGAACACATCTATAACACATCTAGAACACACCTAGAACACATCTAAAAGACACCTAGAACACACCTAGAACACACCTAGAACACATCTAGAACACATCTAGAACACGTCTATAACACATCTAGAACACATCTAGAACACACCTAGAACACATCTAAAAGACACCTAGAACACGTCTATAACACATCTAGAACACACCTAGAACACATCTAAAAGACACCTAGAACACATCTAGAACACATCTAGAACACACCTAGAACACATCTAGAACACATCTAGAACACACCTAGAACATACCTAGAACACACAGATCATATTTTTTCTGTTTCTCACAGACAGGAACAAAGACTGCGGGCCGCCACCCCCCGCCCACCACGCCAAACACAACGGCTCCCCGGGCCAGCTCCGGTTCCAACTGGGCACCTACCTGCTCTACATCTGTGACCAAGGCTTCACCCCCCTCAAAGACAGCGTCGACAGGGCGTGGTGTGTGGGGGGAGGGGTCTGGGTGGGGCCAAACCTAACATGCACAAGTAAGTTGGTTAAGTTAAGCTTTGGAAATGACTTGCCTTTATAGGTGAAATTGAAAATAAGTATATAGGACACTAGCCGTCCCGGCCAGGCCCTGCACTGGCCTCTATGAAAAACCTATAAAGGTCCATGACTTTTGTGTTTAGTAGACAAACCCAATATCCAAACGAAAAAACAAACACAAACGCAAACCCAAATGAAAACCCAAACACAAACGCAATTACAAAAGCAAACGCAAACACAAACGCAAACTTAAACGCAAACTATAACGCAGAACATAAACACAAACTTAAATGCAAATATAAACGCATAGTGCTCGCAGTCTAGCCCGGACGCCAAAATCGCACCCTGTCGGGGCACCGGCGGAACCACCTGATTCAACTCAGTAAACGACTGTAATACACTGTAATACAGCATCTTATCCATAGTCTATTGCACAGTTTAAACCGAACGTAGGCGCTAAAGCGCTCAGGAGGCGCCAAATAGCACTCTGGTGGGGCGCCGGAGGAAGCATTGCTTTCGATTTAGTGAAGGACTATGCTAAAACCATGAATTTTAATATTTTCTTTTAAAAATCACAAATTTAGATAATAAACACTTTAAGAGTATTACACTATGGCGATCGAGTTTTTTTTACTACATGCATGTCTACCACCGGTCCGTTCGTCACACAGCAACAGAATCCGTTTGAGCTTTATATTTTAGATTCGGAAGAATATATTAGTGATGGAAAAACTATTTAAAATAGTGGTAGAACTAGCGGCCGCAACCGATGACGGTTCAAATGTGACAGCATAACATAGCAATAAAGTGGGCCAGAGCGAGATAACAGGTATCGGTATTGTGATTTCTATATCGTGGAACCCTTGACGTCACGACACACATACGTCACGAAACATGTTAACGCCACCTATACAGGCGCGCGTTAATCGTGTATGTACGTGCTTTTTATTTGTATGTCGTAGCTTCGTATCCCAATATCAAGCTCATGGGGTACAGTACATAAATTTATCCGAGTCATGTTGGGTATTCTTTAAAGCTGGACGGACTCGACGACTTGTCCTCCTGTTAGTTCCAGAAATATTTTAACCTGGTGCCCCCCCCCCCCCAGCTGCCGGCTGTACCGTGCCCCCAGACATCCCCAACGGCTTCGTGCACATGGTGGGGCAGAACGTGATGGGCAGCAAGATCAAGTACTCCTGCAGGATGGGCTACTACCTGGCTGGCATCGCCGAGAGGACCTGTCTCAAGGACGGCACGTGGGACGGGACGGCACCCACCTGCGAGCAAGGTCAGTCACGTGACGATGACGTCAGTGTAAATATACAGGTCACGTGTGACGTACATGAATAGTTGTGACGTAGATGTTTAGTAGTGACATACATGTCTAGCTGTGACGAATGTGATTTTGCAAGTAAGATGTGTATTTATGAAGATGTGTAGTGGTGACGTAGATGTGTAGTTGTGCTGTGCTGAGTTGTGACCTAGATGAGACACACCATAAAATGTAAACACCTTCCATCTTCTATTAGTGGTGTGCGGCCCCCCGCCCTTTATTGAAAACGCTTACCATGACCTTCCCAAAGAACAGATGACCTTCATGACCGGAACTCAGCTGGTGTACGAGTGCTCGTTCGGCTTCTACAGGGAGGGGGCGCCCCGGGCCATCTGCAGCGGTGCCGAGGGCAAGTGGATAGGGCCCAATATGTCTTGCAAAGGTGAGTCTATGGGAATATCTGAGGTAAACATTTGCCGATACACTGTGGTCTAGCCACAAGATACACTGTGGTCTAGCCACAAGATACACTGTGGTCTAGCCACAAGATACACTGTGGTCTAGCCACAAGATACACTGTGGTCTAGCCACAAGATACACTGTGGTCTAGCCACAAGATACACTGTGGTCTAGCCACAAGATACACTGTGGTCTAGCCACAAGATACACTGTGGTCTAGCTGCCTAGCCACAAGATACACTGTGGTCTAGCCACAAGATACACTGTGGTCTAGCCACAAGATACAGTGTGGTCTAGCCACAAGATACACTGTGGTCTAGCCACAAACACAAAACAAAACGAAACAAGATAATCTATCCCCATATATAAAGCCCGTTTACGCACCTCTCTCTCTCTCTCTCTCTCTCTCTCTCTCTCTCTCTTTCTCTCTTTCCGCAACATATTTTCCGAGGCTATGAGATCAGTATGTTAAGCAATACATGGGGAACTTAAAGATACGGACTTTGTTGAAAATAATATATTGGTTGTATTAAATGTATAAACTAAATTTTATTTTAAGACAGACAAAAAAATAGAGGCATATTCAAAATTAGAAACACATTTTTAATAATGGTACTGTAAAAGTTTTATCGTTGTGACAAGAACGCTGTAGAGATTATATAAGTAGCACAAAAACTATCACTGGCAAACAGAATGACGTCACATAAAACTGTAGTCAGGATGTAGAGCGATCGACAGCTAGCCCGTAAGTCTCGAGTTCGGGAAAATCAAACTGTTTCTACAATCAGGAGGAAAGAATTTGTTTCCTGACTTAAGTCATCTTGACTTAAGTTTCAGAATTTTTTTTTTTGACTGGTTCACGTCTTGTCATTTAGAACCTGGGTCAAATGTCCCATGCTGCATCACTTCCCACGTGACCGCGCATGTGCAGAAAGCACCAGCCAATCAGTGATGATGTATTCTATGATTTTATTCGCCATGTTTTTATTCTCCAGAATAGTTTTATGTTGCCATGGTTACAGTGTAAATGAACTACTGACGGCGGTAGATAGAAATAAACTAAAGATAGTACACTGACGTTTGGTAAAGTTTAGCTTAGCACCAGAACAACCAAACTAACACAAGTTTGTGTCTCACACGCAGCTAGCGACCCTCACGGGACCTACTCACACCCAGCTAGCGCCACCCACAGGACCTGGCTGTTCCCACCCACCCCCACACCCCCACAGCCAGACACACTGATCTGTGTGCAGTGTGCACAAGTGTACACCTGGCCGCTGCAAGCAAAAGGTAGTTAGATCAGATGGTTCTTAAATAACCGCGATCTATTTGAGCTGACTGGTCACATGACGTCATGGTACAGCAAGATGACGTCATCCTACAGCAAGATGACGTCATCATACAGCAAGGTGACGTCATCCTACAGTACGATGAGGTCATGCATTTAGTGGTGTGGGTTCGAGTCCAAAATGGTCCTGCCACCTGGTGTCCTCTTGAGTTGTTGAAGGTCAGGGTTCAAGTGCATTAGGCGGAGGTCAAGGTAAGTCTGTGTGGAGGTTAATTCTAATCAGCAGTCGGTCAAGGTCACACGGATTCAATCAAGGAGGGAGGTGAACTAAACAACGTCTCATAGAAAAGGTTGGATTTTGTTGGCCTTGACCTATCAACATGACCTTGTCAGCATAACTTGCTTGTGACCTTGTCAGAATGACCTCTTGGTTATGACCTTGTCAGCATGACCTTATAGCCATGATATTGTGGCTACATCCGGCTAAGCGTGTCCGGACCGGATGTTATGTTTAACCTTTGACCTTGACTTTCAGCCCGAGACTGCGGGGACCCAGGGGAGATCGCTCACGGCTGGCGTGACCCAGGCTACAGGTTCGTGTACCCCACCCGTGTGACGTACCACTGCTCTGAGGGCTACGAGCTGAGGGGGAGGCCCTACAGGGAGTGTAAGGCCAACGGCGAGTGGTCGGACGGGAGGCCGGAGTGTGAACGTGAGTAGGGGCAGATGGGAGGGGCAGAGGGGGAACGTGAGTAGGGGCAGATGGGAGGGGCAGAGGGGGAACGTGAGTAGGGGCAGATGGGAGCAGAGGGGGAACGTGAGTAGGGGCAGATGGGGGCAGAGGGGGAACGTGAGTAGGGGCAGATGGGGGCAGAGGGGGAAGGTGAGTAGGGGCAGATGGGGGCAGATGGGGGGCAGAGTGTGAACGTGAGTAGGGGCAGATTGGAGGGGCAGAGTGTGAACGTGAGTAGGGGCAGATGGGAGGGGCAGATGGGGGCAGAGGAAAACGTGAGTAGGGGCAGATGGGGGCAGAGTGGGAACGTGAGTAGGGGCAGATGGGGGGCAGAGTGGGAACGTGAGTAGGGGCAGATGGGGGCAGAGTGGGAACGTGAGTAGGGGCAGATGGGAGGGGCAGAGGGGGAACGTGAGTAGGGGCAGATGGGGGCAGAGGGGGAAGGTGAGTAGGGGCAGATGGGGGCAGATGGGGGGCAGAGTGTGAACGTGAGTAGGGGCAGATTGGAGGGGCAGAGTGTGAACGTGAGTAGGGGCAGATGGGAGGGGCAGATGGGGGCAGAGGAAAACGTGAGTAGGGGCAGATGGGGGCAGAGTGGGAACGTGAGTAGGGGCAGATGGGGGGCAGAGTGGGAACGTGAGTAGGGGCAGATGGGGGCAGAGTGGGAACGTGAGTAGGGGCAGATGGGGGCAGAGGGGGAACGTGAGTAGGGGCAGATGGGGGCAGAGTGGGAACGTGAGTAGGGGAAGATGGGGGGCAGAGTGTGAACGTGAGTAGGGGCAGATGGGAGGGGGCAGAGTGTGAACGTGAGTAGGGGCAGATGGGAGGGGCAGATGGGGGCAGAGGGGGAACGTGAGTAGGGGCAGATGGGGGCAGAGGAAAACGTGAGTAGGGCAGATGGGGGCAGAGTGGGAACGTGAGTAGGGGCAGATGGGAGGGGCAGATGGGGGCAGAGGGGGAACGTGAGTAGGGGCAGATGGGGAGCAGAGTGTGAACGTGAGTAGGGGCAGATGGGGGGCAGAGTGTGAACGTGAGTAGGGGCAGATGGGGGCAGAGTGGGAACGTGAGTAGGGGCAGATGGGGCAGAGTGGGAACGTGAGTAGGGGCAGATGGGGGGCAGAGTGTGAACGTGAGTAGGGGCAGATGGGGGCAGAGTGGTTACGTGAGTAGGGGCAGATGGGGCAGAGTGGGAACGTGAGTAGGGGCAGATGGGGGCAGAGTGTGAACGTGAGTAGGGGCAGATGGGGGCAGAGGGCGAACGTGAGTAGGGGCAGATGGGGGCAGAGGGGGAACGTGAGTAGGGGCAGGTGGGGCAGAGTGTGAACTTGAGTAGGGGCTAATAAAGAACCCTCCTACGTTAACCCCCCCACCCCCTCCTTATGTCCCCAGCCATCCGCTGTAGTGAGCTGAGTCCTTCCTACCTGGCTACGATGATCGGGACAGGCACCAGCTACGGCACGGTCATCAGGTTCGCCTGCCCCAGCGGCTACAAGATCGTCGGCTCCAGCGAGAGGTCATGTCAGGCGGACAGGACCTGGAGCGGTCAGGACGCCACGTGTGAAGGTGGGAGGTGGGGGGGGGGGGACTGGCATGGGGGGGGGTAGAACTATGGGGGGGGGGCATGGGGGTGTTGAGCTTTAGAAAACTGATGATCAGAGACATCAACTGTGTGGGTCATTATTTTATCTAGACATCAACTAATTAATTATCTAGACATCAACTAATTAATTATCTAGACATCAACTAATTAATTATCTAGACATCAACTAATTAATTATCTAGACATCAACTAATTAATTATCTAGACATCAACTAATTAATTATCTAGACATCAACTAATTAATTATCTAGACATCAACTAATTAATTATCTAGACATCAACTAATTAATTATCTAGACATCAACTAATTAATTATCTAGACATCAACTAATTAATTATCTAGACATCAACTAATTAATTATCTAGACATCAACTAATTAATTATCTAGACATCAACTAATTAATTATCTAGACATCAACTAATTAATTATCTAGACATCAACTAATTAATTATCTAGACATCAACTAATTAATTATCTAGACATCAACTAATTAATTATCTAGACATCAACTAATTAATTAATTATCTAGACATCAAGTAATTAATTATCTAGACATCAACTAATTAATTAATTATCTAGACATCAAGTAATTAATTATCTAGACATCAACTAATTAATTAATTATCTAGACATCAAGTAATTAATTATCTAGACATCAACTAATTAATTAATTATCTAGACATCAAGTAATTAATTATCTAGACATCAACTAATTAATTATCTAGATATCAACTGCGGAATGCCAGAGCCTCTGTGGAACGGGAAACTTGACGGCCACCGAACCAACGTAGGCGCCATTTACTTCTTCACGTAGGTACCAGCTATTTTTACAAGCTTTTATTTAACTCACTTCCTCGTCAGTCGTCAGTCGTCAGTCGCCAGTCGTCAGTCTAGACCGAAACGCAGGAGAGAAAATTCGGAAACTTCTACTTGACCGATACGATTCACACTTGGCACGTGGGTCAAGACATGAAGACAATGCAATCTGAAACTAAATTTGACTTAATTGGATGCCTAATTAATTTTTTATGAATTAATTAAAATTTGGACCGAATCAATAGGCATGTCTATCCAACCACACCACACGCGTCATCGCATTCCATAGCTGCGCCATCACCTTCAGTAGGCGCGCCATCACGTTCAATAGACGCGCAATAGTTTTTAGTCATGTAACACTATTGTAAATAAAACATGTAAAGTACTGAAATTTTTTTTCATAAAAAACGTTTTAATAACAAGCTTTTATGTAATGATGCACTAAAAAGTAGAAAATAAATTATACACTAGTATTTAAATTACTATAAAGAAAAGCGTGGGTCTCTTCTCAAATATTAGTAAAGGTATCCAATAGGCCTAGGTACTAAAGTACTAAAGTGACCCACGCTTTTCTTTATAGTTATTTAAATAGTAGTGTATAATTTATTTTCTACTTTATAGTGCATCATTACATAAAAGCTTGTTATTAAAACGTTTTTTATGAATTTTTTTTTACAAGCTTTTATTTAACTCGCTTCCTCTGTCGTCAGTCGTCAGTCGTCAGTCTAGACGGAAACGCAGGAGTGAAAATTCGGACAGTTCTACTTGACCGATACGATTCAAAGTTAGCACGTGGGTCAAGACATGAAGACAATGCAATCTGAAACTAAATTTGACTTAATTGGATGCCTAATTAATTTTTAATGAATTAATTAAAATTTGGACCGAATTAGTCTAGCCAACCACACCACACGCGTCATCACCTTCAATAGCTGCGCCATCACGTAATGGCTGCGTTCAAAAACCATTGCGCGCCTACTGAACGTGATGTTCAGTAGGCGCGCAATGGTTTTTAGTCATGTAACTCTATTGTAAATAAAACATGTAAAGTACTGAAAAAAAAATTCATAAAAAACGTTTTAATAACAAGCTTTTATGTAACGATGCACTAAAAAGTAGAAAATAAATTATAGACTACTATTTAAATAACTATAAAGAAAAGCGTGGGTGTCTTCCTTAACATTAGTAAAGGTATCCAATAGATACTAAAGTGACCCACGCTTTTCTTTATAGTTATTTAAATAGTAGTCTATAATTTATTTTCTACTTTTTAGTGCATCGTTACATAAAAGCTTGTTATTAAAACGTTTTTTATGAATTTTTTTTTTTAGCGCAATTTCCATTCTGGAGAATTGCGTTTATTAACTCGTCTTTTCTGGGAATGAATGGATGAATGGATGGATGGATGTGTGTCCGGGCTTTAAGTCGTATCTCCTCCTCAACGAAGCAATATCGAGGACTAGTTCCAAAAGCAATTATGTTAAGCAAGTTACGAGGATGAACATAGGCCATAAAAATTCCGGGTTTCTTTCATGGATTTCCCGGAAAAGCCAAAAAACCTCGAAAAAATGTAGTTTTTGGCCCATAACTCGGCAACCAGACCACTTAGCGACTTGAAACATGTACCAATCGATTCCTGCCATAATTTAGAACAATATTGCCGAAGAAAGTTTTCAAAAATATCCTTTCGTTTGGTCACAAAATTTTTTTTGAATTAATTAAAATTTGGACCGAATTAGTAGGCATTTTATGCAACCACACCACACGCGTCATCACGTTCAATAGCTGCGCCATCACGTTCAATGGCTGCGACGTCACGTTCGGTAGCTGGGCGCGCAATGGTTTTTAGTCATGTTACTCTATTGTAAATAAAACTTGTAAAATACTGAAAAAAAAATTAATAAAAAACGTTTTAATAACTAACCAATGGTTTTACTAACCCTGCTCTTGATTTACGCTACGACAGAGCTATTTTTAGATAACACAAGGAAATTGCGCTAAAATTGTCACTAGACTTTTTTTAATTACTTGTTTTAATAACATCATTTGGTTTGGTTTTTCAACAATTTGTTCAGTAGTCGTATCTAAAGAAATAATACTGATTCTGAACGTTATTTGTCGAGTCTAAAAGAAAAGAAAATCCACCTATAACTCATATCGGGAATTTAGATGTATTCGAACTTATCATAAATTTTATTGTAATTTTTTTTAAATAATGGAAAGGAGATAACTGGAATCATTTTAATACTGCGAACAAAAAATAGAGTTACTTCCCTTTATCTATAAATTATTTCTCGTTGTTTTAGCTGTTTTGACAACACCAAGTTCGTGGGGACGTCACAAACGACGCAGTGTTTAGAGACTGGGCAGTGGTCAGAGCCCACCCCCAAATGTTTAAGTAAGTTCAAACTTTTATCAACATAAAACGTTTACCGACTTTTTTCTAAGTCTATAAACATATTAAATGTAGGCCTAGTGCCAAAAACTTGCATTAAAAAAAGTTTCCCGACAAAATTGTTTGCTTATAACTGAAAAAATTTCGACCTACATCACGATTTGAAAGAAAATTATAAATAATTTTTTTAAAAAATCCGTTGGCAACCTTATCTTCACAGTTTTAAAACATTTTTGAGAGGTCCCCAAGATATTGAATGTAATATATCTACCCCAGGGCATTGTCCCCTACCGACGATAGCAAACGGCACCATCGCAGGTGTCGGGGGTCGGGCCTTTGTTGAACATGGCACCGTGGTGGAGCTGAGGTGTCTCCACGGTCTGGTGCTGAGTGACCTGCGTCCAGTCGAGTGTGACAACGGCAGCTGGGCACACATCCCGCGCTGTGTACCAGGTGAGTGAGTCGCTAGTGGTGTATGTGTGTGTCTCTACTGGTGTATGTGTGTGTCTCTACTGGTGGATCTGTGTGTCTCTACTGGTGGATCTGTGTGTGTCTCTACCTGTGTATGTGTGTGTCCCTGTGTGTCGTGTGTTGTGTCTCTGTTTACTATGTACCTAAGGTCACCTGTTTATTGCGTAGGCTACATACGGTCACCTGTGTATGACGTAGTACATTACGTACATACGTTCACCTGTGTGTGACGTAGTTCATGACGTACATACGGTCAGAGGCGTAGCGAGGGGGGGGGGGCGGGGGGTGCGGACCGCACCGGGTGACACCATTTAGGGGGGTGACACCAAGGGAAGAATTGAAAAATATATAGAGAAAAACTTGAGGGGGTGCAAATCGAAAGTTTGAGGGGGGGGGGGGGGGTGCAAATCGAAAACTTGAGGGGGGTGCAAATCGAAAGTTTGAGGGGGGGGGGTGCAAATCGAAAGTTTGAGGGGGGTGCAAATCGAAAATTTGTCCCCGTGAAGGGTCTCTACGCCTCTGGGGGGGTGACACCATTAAGTGCCGCACCGGGTGACACCCGACCTCGCTACGCCACTGCATACGGTCACCTGTGTATGACGTAGTTCATGACGTACATACGGTCACCTGTGTGTGACGTAGTTCATGACGTACAAACGGTCATCTGTGTATGACGCTATTCCAGCCCCCTGTAAAGACCCCCCGCCCACCATCGAGAACGGACACCGGACATTCTTCGAACAGAGCCACGGCACCCGTGTCCGGTACTTCTGTATGGCCGGCTACAAGCTGGCGGACGGTCACCGGTTCATGGTGTGTGAGAACGGCCTGTGGCAGGGGCAGCTACCCGTGTGTGTAGAGAGTGAGTACACAAGTGGTCACGTGAGAGTATAATTTTTTTTTTTGCAACACATTTACATAAGGTTGCATTTTCTGCATTAATAAGGAAACAAGTTAACCTAGGCCTAGAGTTCAACCATAAACGACGTCACGTTTGTTAAACGATTTTACCCCCCCCCCCCCCCCCATCGTTACACAAAGCCACCCCCCCCCTTTAAAATGACGTCACAACTCCGCCTACCGGCCCCCTAAAGATTTCAAACTTTTTTGTTTTTTTCGATCACCACCCTACAACGCCATATGTAGATTCATTTTAAGTTATATGTGCACGATCTCTAAAAAGGGCTACAAGGTCAAGAAATCACCTTTAATATATAAAGCCTTTAGAAAAATTAAAAAGGCCTACAACAGTGAAGCTAAACTATTATTTTAACATTTGTCCAGATTACTGCGCAAATCCTGGCAGCCTCCAAAATGGCAGCGTGTATAAAGTGGGTAAACACGGCAAGTTCCTGTTCCAAGACTACATCACCACCATCAAGCACGGCGACAGGCTGGTGTATGAGTGCAACAGGAACTTCAAACTGGTAGGGCCTAAGGGCGCAGCTTGTGTCAATGGAAACTGGAGTCCCAAGGAAAAGCCCGTCTGTGAAAAATCCAGTCATCCTCTCTTTAGGAAGCTCTGGAAGCCGTATGAGGAAAATGGGAATTCTCGAGGAAATTTATTTTATTGATTCGCATCTGCATTTTATTAAATCTTATATTATAAAATAATATATCTAAAAACATCTAGAGGTCTAGGAAAATCTAGATCTAGATTTCTAGATCCTAGACTCCAGGTCCAGACTTTTACAGTAAAGGTTTTACTGTTTATAATTTCAATGGACACGAGCGAGAAAACTCTCAAAGGTATTTGAGAGGTGTATAAATTAGTTTAAAAATCAGGCACGGCGTAGTTACAATTAATATGGTTATAAAATCCTGTCTGTCTGGTTTATTTCGGACTTTACTAAAGAATAAAGATTGGGTCTATTTGATGTTTTAAAAATTTTCGGTAACTAATTGAAAATTTAAAAACAAGCCAAAACAATTTGGTTTTCACGTGTAATGGCGACATAAACAATGGCATCCTGCTATTGGATAGGCCGACATTGATTTTATTGTACACATTGTAAGCTAAAAATAGAAAACTAGGTCATGGGTTTTTTAATTTGCATTGTTATTTAAAAACTTGATCTGCAAAGTTTTGTAAACAAATAGTTATCGATCACTAAGTTACTGTACAGCCAATCAATATTTGTCTTACGAAAGTGAAACATCCGGTTTTAACTTAGGCTTGATGAAAATAAATAGAAATGTAGCCTTAAACTCAACAAATTATTTTCAAGTTCTCTGGATTTGCAACTTTTATAGCATTTATTCTAAAAATATAAAATTTCTAAATTAATTTTAGGCTTAAGTTTTTATTTTTTATTTTTTTTTACGGTCTAAATCTAAAAAGCACGTTTTTATTCCATGTCAACAATATTATGGAAGGAATCTCGTCAACTCGCTCGCCTCCATTGCTAAACTTAATTACTAAACTAAGATAAATTTAATGATTTATGGTAAAAAAAAAAACATAGAAATTAGAAATAACCAAAAAAACATAGTGGAGTAATTGCCAGTGACATTCAGAATTTCTTTTTGATAAGATAGACTTTTTCAACATATGAAAAAATCAAATGTCAAATAGTTAAGTTCTGATCCAGATCTACCTGTATTCAAACAATTTGGATAATGTGAGTGGTGTGATAAAAAATGCATTCCGCTCCAGACTTTGATCTTTATTGGGTGAGCTTTTGCTTACATTTAGTTCTAGATTCTATCTGCTTGAATGTAAAATGATCTAATCAGCTGCGTAGCAGGGGGGGGGGGGTGGTACATATGTTCCTGAGCGCCGACCTTAGGGGGCGCCAAAATGGGTTGTAAAAACAAATTAAAATTTCATTTTAGCTGCAGTTTTGTATTATAAGTATAAAAAGTATATGGGGGGCTGCAAATTGAAAATTAAAAGGTTGTTCCCGAGGGGGACGCCAAATTGAAAGTTTGTCTCCGGGAAGGGTTGCTACGCCTCTGGATCTAATACTTTATTAATATTTAGAAGTTATAAATATGATGTTCACATCAGTGTGAAGTGGCATATGATGTTTACAATGATGTTCACATCAGAATGAGATTATCTCTGACTTAGTGGTTTTGTTTTATTTTACTAAAGCTACAAGACACATCATTCCATACATAATTTTTGTCTCTGCTTTTTTCATCACTAAATAGCTTTCATCTAAAAATGATTTCCTCACTTTTACTTTAGACTGGTGGTGAGTTTTGGTTCTAATGCTACTGAGTAGGGCCTAGGTTTACTATGCAAGTCATTATTGCCTTCTGTTTTTATGATACTTTCACTAGAGTACAGACCCAGCTATCTGATGTTCTCTTAATAAATAACTGGGTTGTTGGTTTAGTTAAGAAGTGGTTTGATTAGATTTCTTAGACACTAATGGCTAGGCTAAATTTCTTGGATTAGACAGTAAAGACTATGCTCAAATGATGATTACAAAGAATGCAGTCCAATCAGTAAGATGGATTTAAATGTTTAAAACAGAAGATACACATTTTTGTTGTTGAGCCATGATGGAACTTTAAAGACATGCAGGGAGAGATGACTAGTGTTGTACACAAAGGCAGAGGTGTACTTAGGGAGAATATAGCAGCAGAATTATATCAAGACACTGACAGCACTCAAGAAGGCAGGCTCCAGTTATACATTCTATTTATTTATTTGTGTGTATCTAAGTTAGGGTACTTAAAGGAAAATATAGACAGGGACATATAGACATACAACAGGCACTCGGTTGAAAATATAGTTTTAATATTAAAAAAAAAACTAATATATTGATCCTTTTTTTTTACTAACACTAATAGTCAGCTGGCTAGGTTTTGTAATGGAAAATGTTTTAGAAATATATTTTGGATTTTCAAAATTTGGTATGGTGAAATACCATTAGAATTAATGCTAAATTTAATGGTATATCAACATAAAAAAAACTTATAAAAAATGTTTCTAGTGATTTTACAGTGCTTAGGGACAGTGTATCATAATGTTGACCACTGGAATAGTGGGCCAACCCAATATCCTAGTGACTGTTTCGGCCCAACTCAATATCCTAGTGACTGTTTCGGCCCAACTCAATATTCTAGTGACTGTTTCGGCCCAACTCAATATCCTAGTGACTGTTTCGGCCCAACTCAATATCCTAGTGACTGTTTCGGCCCAACTCAATATCATAGTGACTGTTTCGGCCCAACTCAATATCCTAGTGACTATTTCGGCCCAACTCAATATCCTAGTGACTGTTTCGGCCCAACTCAATATCCTAGTGACTGTTTCGGCCCAACTCAATATCCTAGTGACTGTTTCGGCCCAACTCAATATCCTAGTGACTGTTTCGGCCCAACTCAATATCCTAGTGACTGTTTCGGCCCAACTCAATATCCTAGTGACTGTTTCGGCCCAACTCAATATCATAGTGACTGTTTCGGCCCAACTCAATATCATAGTGACTGTTTCGGCCCAACTCAATATCGTAGTGACTGTTTCGGCCCAACTCAATATCATAGTGACTGTTTCGGCCCAACTCAATATCCTAGTGACTGTTTCGGCCCAACTCAATATCCTAGTGACTGTTTCGGCCCAACTCAATATCCTAGTGACTGTTTCGGCCCAACTGTAAATAACTGGTGAGGCAGCAGAGGGTCCACCCTGGTCACTTGCTTGGTGTATTTATTCTTGTTTAGATTTTAGAAACATTTCTTTTTCTGCCACTAGATTGTGAAGGGATGAAGCTGAAGTCTTCACATTGTTTTTTTTTTTGTTTACTGTGTATATTTTAGTGTTAGCTACCATTTTAACTCACACATTGTTTGAAATTTGGTAGAGCTATCAGTCATTGATATTTGGTATCTTAATTTTGTCCCCTCATTGTAGCATGTAGCCAAACAATCTTGGACCTGGGTTTAGTACTAACATCCACAATGCTGTCTGTAGTTTTCTCTTTGGTGTAGCTATGACTCCAATTATCTGTCCTCTGATTACTTGACATGAAAAATCTTCCAAAACTTGGCCTTAAGTCCCCACTAGTGATAGTCTAGAAACCAACAGAATATGGTTGTGATAGGTTTTCATTGTACTTGCATGTCTTTCTCCATTGTGAAATATTCCTGTTTCATGTATTATGTAAATAAAATAGTGGTCACACAAGCTGCCAAGCTACAAGTGTTTGATCTTGTATACTCACTACTCAGTCAATCTGTTCAATGAGTGAGTAAGAAAAACTTTCATATGTTGAAGTTTAATCAGTTACATTCTACTTCCATCATTGCCATCATTAAAGGTACAAGCACTGTATTTTATTCAACAACAGAATAATGTTCAATTTACAAAGCAAATCATATACAGATGAAATAAAGGGCAAAAATATGACACTATGATAGAAATAAGACAGCCTACTGCTGCCGATGACACAAGTAGGATCATCTGACACCAGATACAGAGCTAAGTTGGTCAGTTGATGCCCAGGTTAAAACAAATCTGTCATTCCCACAAGTTGAGATCAAGTCAGACAAACACAGCCAACAACAACAATGTGACAGACCCACTAGAGGAGGGTGTCCATTTTGTCATTCAGGACCAACTCAGACAGTTTTGTACACACATTCACATGCTTAAACAAACTACACAGCTGACAATGATATTGCATTCTTTTAAAAAGACCACCGGATCAGAATATATGAATTGTTTTTTCCCTTGAATTTAAAGAATCTGCTAATTAAAAAATAAAGGGTTCAGTATAAGAATAAACTTAGCCTTCTTTCAATAATTCAGTCATCATTTAGCATTAAAAAAAAACCTACATCTAAATACATTGCCTTATAAGGTTGTCTCAACTTTATGTTTAGCTATTTATTTATCCAGCTGAGCTGGGAAAATATGGATGGAGCCAACTAATCATTCAACACCACACATCCCACATATTAATGTTGAATGATGCTCAGTCAACAAAAACATCCCACATGCTGAGATGTTCCAATAGGTAAGTCTAATGTGTACAGAGTTGAACTAATATGTTTTAAAGTTTAACAGTACAAGACTTCCTGAACAGATCAAATGGTGTTGCAAACAAAGCTGCTTCAATATATGTACAATGACCACAGAATACAATAATTAAAAAAAAATTAGGTTTATATTTATATAGAATTATTAGAATGGTATGAACTTTAGACTTGTACGCCTATCAAGTCATTATGTTGAATGATTGGTCAACTTCTTCATGTACTCAGTTGAGCCAGGCCAACACAACCTGATCAAACATTTACCCACAAGTCATTGCTACGGAGATCAATATAGAACTGTGTGCTTTTTTAAAACAGTTCCTCTATGTACAAAGCATCCAGTCCATCCACACAACAGGTCTTACTAAACACTGAGAGCAAGAAATTTAACCAATTGTAAACATTGTGTGCAACAAAATCTTGGCCACAACTTGTTATAAAATAAAGCAATATAAATTTTCACCATTATAATTTAAATAAATGATTTAAAAATTTCAACTGTACATAATCCAGGTACAACTATATACACTTGTGCTGGCCACACTTGGGAGATAGGTGGGCCATCATGCTAGCGAGGTGGCCCACCCCTCCAGCGTGGTGGCCCACCATCCTAGAGTCCTGGTGAGCTGAGAAATCTTCCCTGTAAATATTGAATTTCAATTGTGTTTCACAAAACCAAGTCTCTGAACCATGGTCGTTTCATTGATTAAAAAAATGCAGAAAGTGAGTGTCACTGTTAAAAACCAGTTTTTAAAAAATGGCAGCTGTTTTTAAAAAAAAAAGTTTTCCCAAGTAGTCAACAGCCAGAAATTTTATGTGGTAGTAGCTGCACAATGACAGTCCACTTGACACTGCTGCTGGTTCCCCCCCCCCCCTACCAATGATAGAGACTATCACAGTAAAACCATAGCAGCTGGTGTCAACTAAAGACTGCCATTAATACTTTAAAGAACTGCTATGTATAGCACCTGTCTGCCCCACCTGCAGCAAGCATGGAGTGACAAAGAAACCAGCCAGTGAGGAAATAAACAGAAGAAGCGCCCTGATATTTTCCTGTCCAGTAGAGTCCTAGAGCTGAGCCTTATTACAAGAGTTGTGGCAGTGAGTTGTGCTATGTGCTGGGGCTAGGGTTCTCCAGCATCTCCATGAGGAAAGTGTCTATAGGCTGGTCACCAATCAGCTTGAAGAAGAACAGGTGTTCCAGGCACTTGAGCCCAATGGAGCGAAGTGCTGGCAGTCGTAGAAGCAGCTTGGCAAACCTGCCTGGCTCCTCTGGGTACCTGGTTTTTGTGTACTCCTCCAGGGAGGCGTAAACTTTCTCCCTCAGCTGCTCCACCTCCTGGACAGCGGTCAGACCTTTGGCATCTGTGGACACAATTTTAGTTGTCAACAAACAATGCCAAAACAAAATAGGCCTACATGGTAACTTTTTTTTTCATTGGAAATAAGTTTTCTTTAGGTAATTTCTTATTAGCTATAGCAGGGGTCTCCAAACTAAGGCCAGCGGGCCGGATGCGGCCCGAAGTCCTATCATCCGGCCCGCTGAGATCTTTTTGTCCACGGAAAAAACGTTTGTTGGTGATGGCTGAGGAACTTTGCCAAGAAAAATCAAAGACATGCCTGGAAGAAACTGGCCCCCGAACTGAAATTTGATAGTTAATGCGGAGACCCCTGAGCTATAGCAATAAATTTTCTATGTATTTAAATTTTTGTTGTTGTGAAATTACAAGTGATTAAAATTAGTTGGGCCTTCAATTATACTTAATGATGTTGGAAATAAAACTAGTTCACTTGTTGAATTGGTCTTGGCAATTTACATTTTTTGTAATGAAGTAACTTTTTTGGTATTATTTATATATCATCAAGTGTATCTAAGCTGCATAAAATTGCCTTCATCTAGTTAGTTAACCTATAACAATGTAGGTGATTTCATCAACTTTAGATAACCACATACAAAATGAAGTATTTAAATTATACAGGGCTTGTAGAATTGAGGGACAGCTTGAACACTACTATGTTTGTATGGTCTCCTCAATGTGAGAGTGACCAAGGCTAGTAGATCAGCTGTAGGCTAGGCTTAGGAGACTTGCATCTGGCTGTAAAGCTAAACTAATAGCACAAGAACTGTGCAAGCCTTGGTACTTCTGTTTCATACTTGAAGAAGTCCTACTTTGTTACCAAAAGTTACCTGGGTTAAAGAGGACAACTGCCCTGAGACATCCCAGCTCTGTCTTGTCCATCTTCATCTCTCTCATCTTAGCAACAAGTTCTGTCAGGACTCTGTCAAAGATGGTGCCAACACCTGCTTGGTGGGCACTGCTGCGGTGGACATGGAGGCCAGTGGCCAGGAGAATTCCATCTTTGGCCATAATGGAACGATGGGAGAAGCCAGCGATGAGAAGCTCATTCCACCCTGAGGAAAATGTTTTTTTTTATCAACATACCCTACTCTCACAACAAGAGAAAAACTTCCTAGTCTATTAATAGCTAGAGGGGTACTCAACAACATAAACTTTTTACTTGTGGCCAATGGAAGTAAGACTTACCAGCTCTCAAGAGAATGACTTGATCCTCTAGGGGAAGTTCTGTAAAGTGCGGGATCCTTTTGGCCCACTCCACCAGTGTGAAGAGCTGCTTGTCTGCTGCCTGACAAATGTTGGTAACTGGATCTTTCTGTTAGTGCCACAAGGAAAATATGCGCATCTGGGTGTTTGTTTACAACTCATACCAGTACGTGTGGGTGTTTGTTTACAACTCATACCAGTACGTGTGGGTGTTTGTTTACAACTCATACCAGTACGTATGGGTGTTTGTTGTTCAATTGCTAATTTATACATGTGGATGTCAATACTTGTTTAATGAAAATTACTCCTATTTGTGAATGTGAGATGCTTACTACTGATTCTACCAATATAAAAAATTAATCAATGGACAGTACAAAAAAATAATTCTTAACTTACCTGGGCATCGATGTAGGTGTCAATCTTAGGGTCTACAGCTAGCTCCGCCTCTAGAATTTGTTCCACTGGCATGTCATTATTGGCGCCACTGGTACTCTCCACCTCACCATCCCCCTTCTCTTTCACTCTCTGCCTCTCCTCTTGGACGGCTGTAACAGCTAAAAGAGTGTTAGGGGCAGCTATCAACATTACTTATCCAGCTAGCTCAGCAGAAAACTGAAACCTTTACTGCAGGAACTAAAGCCTGAGTAAAGATTTCATTTTTCTAGTCTTTCAAGGGAGCAAACACACAATGGTTAAACAGCATTCAAATCTATTGTTAACTAGAAATAAAAAAATATTTTTGAAATATTCACCTTCTCTCTTCATGCCCATAGAAAGACACTTCATGTAGCGACAATACTGGCACCTATTGCGCTGTCGTTTATCTATCATACAGTTCTTGTCATCTCTACAGGCATAGGTTAGATCTTTCCTCACCGTCCTCTTGAAGAAACCTTTACAGCCTTCACAGCTGTGGACACATGCATAATTAATTGTAGCTTTAACAAGGATCAGTTTTTATAGGGCCTATCAATGCATACACAATTAATTATAGCTTTAACAAGGATCAGTTTTTATAGGGGCTATCTACACATACACAATTAATTATAGCTTTAACAAGGATCAGTTTTTATAGGGCCTTTCAACACATACACAATTAATTAGTAGGGATATAATTACATCCAGTATTTATGGTCTCATTTACACATACATTAAGTACTTCCATTCCTAGAATAAAATTTTAATAACATTTAAAATATATTTTATTGTTTCATAACTGATTAAGAAATAATTTTTAATTTAGCGACAGAGTAAAGCAAGTTTTTATATTTATAGGTAGATGTAGATTTATATAGATGTAGCCCACATGGATACAGTACATATGTTGAGAGTGGATCAAATTTCAGCACAAACTATTTTCTGATAAGCAGAAGCATAGGTTTAAGAGAAGCTGACTAGAGGCATATGTTGAAACTCTAGGTGCTATCTGTATGTGACTTTATGTGGTGGTGTTGTGTTTCTGCTACAAGGTTTACAGCATCATCACATTTTTTTACAGGGGGGGGGGGGGTGGGGTGGGTGGGGGGTGGGTGGGTGGTCTTTATCTCTAAACACACTGCTAAGTATCCACACACTAGCAGAGATTTGAAGAGAGATAAGTAAAAGTTTTAACTGTGTCTAGAATCTGGGCTTTAGTGCGGGCTGTAATAGTTGCACTTTCCAGGCCAGCAGGGGAAGAAATCAATAGGCCAGTGCCAGACACATCACCCACATCAGCCCAGCTGATCAATACTTCTTTGTCTCCTCTATCACAGCCCCCCCCCCCTCCATCCTGTCCTCAAGGCTGGGGACTTTAAACACCAGTGTTCATCTACCAACAATGGTTTCATGTACTCAACACATTTTTCTAGTTTTATTGCAATACAATTGTTTAATCAAGATAGAGATGGATACCTGAACCAAAGTTTAGCCCTTATAAAAACAAATTGCTAAGACTAATTAAAAACAAATTATAAAAAATTTATCAAAAAAAATTTCCACTAAACTTCAGGAGCTAAGAAATGAATTCATTTAGATTTGTGATGATATTTCTTAGTTACACTATGTGACAATGGCTATCTTTAACTATAAGATATTATTTGAGGTCACTAGTACCCTAATGATAAAACTTGTAAGCATTCAATGGAACAGAACAAAATCTAAACAAAAGATTGTACTAAACAGTTATATGAATGATGTGGTACTTAACTATTGGGTGTCTCGTAAATTCTTGATCAAACAATTTTCAATGACCAGATGAGTTTAAGTTAGTATGGTATTTTTAAGGAAAAATTGCTTCTTGTTCTTCAACATAGTACATATTGAGCTTTATGTCAGAAAGGCTTTATCCTAACTTACAGTAACTAGTCACTTACCCATGTACATGGTCTAGATCAGAAAGGCTTTATTCTAACTTACAGTAACTAAGAGCTCATCTAAATTGGTCAGGTAAAAATCGTAGTAAGTATCAGCTTACCTATAGACGCCATAGTGTTTGCCTGAGGCCCTATCCCCACATATAGCACATATGTGCTTGGTGTGTAGAGATGAATGTGGTAGACCAGGGGAGGGGCTGGGGTTGGTGGGGCTCAGGCACAGCATGGGGGGTGAGCCCATGGATGAGGTGGGGGAGTGCATGCCGGGGGAGTGCATCTGTTGAGCACTGGGGGACTGCTGGCTGGAGGTGGCCATGCCTGGCATGCCACCAAAGCCGTAGTAGCCTCCGTGGGTGGAGGTGGGGGAGGTCAGGGAGGAGATGTCTGGCTTGATGTCTGGTGGGGGGTGACCTGGATGGCCACCCATGGACATTCCCATGGACATTCCACCTGGCATACTGTTCTCAAGAGTGTCTGCCAAAGAAAAAAAAAATAGGCTAAAGGTTACATACATTCAAAGCTTAAAGGTTACATAAACTAAAAGCTTAATAAAGGGTACATACATTTAAAAGGTTATATAAATTCACATGAGTTAAACAAGCATCAACAGGCAAGGTGCCAGTCTCAAGAAAAGTGATATTCCCACATCTAGTCAACAAAAAGTTTGACACCAATAAGCACTCATCCAATCAACAAGTCCAAAAGTTTGACACCAATAGACCAAATGTGTGACAAGTCACAATAAGAAAAGATGGCTTCAATGAGAGACTTGTTATTTAAGCAGGATGGAGCAGCTTTTTATTTTAATACTCTTTAGGCCTACATATAATTATTCAAGCACTAGTAATACAGTAGAGAACCAAAGTATACACAAACTTTACATTACACAGACATGTGACACTTTAGAATAGTCACCCCCCCCCCCCCCATCTTAACAAGGACTACCCCCCATCTTAACTACAAGGACTAACCCCCCCCCCCCCCCATCTTCCTTAAGCAGACCTTCAGCCTACCGTCAATATTTTGGCCATCAAAGCCACAGCGTTATTTGCTTCAACAAAATCTATATTTACACGTCTTCTCAGTCCATCGGTTTTCTTCATCTAAGGCGGGTCAATACGTGTGGGTGAGGGTATGGTGGGTCAATACAGGGTGGGGGAGGGGGTGAAGAATGCGATCACGAGGGTAATAATCTGTTTTTAACCAGGCCAGAGCCTGTGAACACCCCACGCCTGGGTGAACACGTGAGCCACGGGACAGCCAGCGCTGTCAACAGTGGGACGGTTCTCAGCTGGGGGTGGCACGTACCCCAAGCCGTTCATCGTAATCTTTAGGCGATGTGTACTACTGAGGGACGCGTCATACAACAACGGTACCACTGGCTCGCGCTACGGTAGCAGACGGTCCTCTGTACACTGGCCCCACACATGCACAAAGACCACACGCACACACCACGATTGAGAACCACTGTGCACAGTGAACATAACCTGGGACGGTGGTATCCGTAATGGGACCGCAACAAAAAAAAAAACCCAGCGATTTTTATGTCGACTTGCCGCAACTATGTACTAACTAGGTCACAAGCATGCGAGCGACTGATCAGCGAGACGATTCTATCGTCGTAACTAGGTCACTATACACACCTCGTCGTGGCTGAATTTTTTAAAGTGGTCCAACAGACTAACGGGGTGGGGTGGTTTTTAGAGGATAATGGCAAAGAGGGTTCGTCCGGGTGGACGTACACAAGCGCAGAAAATAGCAAGACGGCTAGCCAGCGCAATACTAGATCTAGGCTAGATGTAGAATCGAAAGATCTAGCAACAAACAAATATGGTGACCTTACACATTGAAAGTTAAAAGGCGAAAAAATACATGTACTTTTAGTGAGCTAGACAGCAGTGTTAACGTCACTGGTAGAGTCCGATCGATACAACGAAACAACATGAAATACAGGACCGGTTCGTTTGGAAAAACAATTCATGTATGTGTTCTGTACATACGAAAACTTTACTCGCCATACTAAGTGGGTGAGTGGTACGTTATTAAATAAATTCTGAATCGAAGAAAAAAAAAGAATGTATCGCCTACCTACAGGATGTCTGGAGTTAGTAGACCTATCACGTGACATGCAACCAGCAGACCCCACCAAACCCAGCACTCACCCATATCGTCGAGAAAATCCGCCATGGCCAGTAGTGAGCGGTTCTAGTCCCAGAACATACAGACGTGGGCCCGAGGCTACAACACACAACCCAAAGGTCAAACCAAGTCAAATCATTCAACCCGCCCGACGTATGGCAGCCACACACAATGTCAACTGCCAGGAAAAAAAACAGCTCAAGAGGCCAAGCTTTCAAGAGTAAATACAAGCCAGCTAGCCTAGACAAAAAATGGTACCAAAGTTTTCAAGCTATCTCCCCTGTGTACACGACAAGAGCCCAAGGAGCATCAGTGATGAGAATCTAAAACACTGGTCGGAAAAACCGTTAGGGTTACAGTTAAAGGGAAAACAAAACAGTACATGTTACACTTTGGTGTGGGGGGGGGGGGGGGGGGGAGAAATGTAAAACATGTCACGGATTTATTCCCCCCCCCCTCGCTCATCGATTAACTGCTTTAAGACTCCTGTATCCAGTTGTAAGGCCAATGTAAGCATATGCCATTAATCCTTACAGATTGGACTATTTGCTCGACACTTTAAAACTCATGTAATACTGGGATTTAACAAATCGATAACTACTGAGACAATCGATAACTACTGAGACAAATGAATGCGAATATTGATTACTAGCCCACGTGACCACATTTTTCGCCTCATCTGGCTATATCAATTTGATAACTGTTTTGTTCAGCTGAATATATGCAAACATAGTATTTGTTTCAGATTCGTGTTGTTCAGTTGAATATATACATACATAGTATTTGTTTCAGATTCCTGCCAGACAAACTACCAAGCACACAACGTCTATTCACAAGAACGTGTATAATAAATGTGTAGATTTAAACCCAAGACGCCAGGCAAACATGTGTCATTAACTAGGCTGTAGTGGCCCACAATACCATGCAACACCAGCGTACGTCGGCCGGAATGTTTTTACAATACCGTCGGAAAACAAGACAAACGGATGCCTTCGGGAGGGAGTTGGGGAGGGTGGTGTATGGACAAATAAACCGCGCAAATCGGATCAGCAGGAGAGACGCGTAAGTAGGTCACGAGAAACACGGCATGTGTTCACCGCTTGAGGCGTTAGAGTACACGACACTGATCCCAGCGGGAGGGTGAGGGGGAGAAAATCTCGCAGCCGAGATCTTGTGTAACACAGAGCGTAATGTCATTGTGTGACTACTTGTACATTAGCCGTACCCACAGAAATGTTACCATACACCAGAACATGATACGGTGCATCGTTATGGATGCTGTCAGATTTATTCAGATAAGGAAAATATTGAATATGTAGGCCCTATACACCAGTTTCTTCCAGGCATCTTTCTGGGAGGGGGGGGGGGGCTCTGTCGTCCGTCCCCACCCAAGAAAACCTACCGCCCAGCCCCCCCCCCCCCCCGAATGAAATGGAATTTATATAGAAAATATAAACTTTTAACAGTGTCCACCCCCCATCCCCAGGGGAAAGTCTGGAAGAAACACTGCTATAAACACCGATCATGTATTAAACAGGTCCCTGGTATAGCTGGTGCTAATGAACTAAGTGCAGCTAAACTGCTAAAGGTGTTAGTTTACATGATCTAGTAGAGCTGCAGGTTCAATACCCACAAGGAACACATTTCTCCAGTGCTCTACATACAGTGGCCTAGAATTTTTTTATGTGGCCAAGTGATTAGGAAGAACTGGTGCAGGTGGGGAAGATAGACAAACCAACTAATGACTTTCAGCTCATTGAAATACCAGAATGGATATATTAGCTAATGACTTTAAGCTCAATAATATACCAGAATTGTCCTATCAAAAATATAAAAAAAAAAATATTCCCCATTTCAAATTAAATATATGTGGCATTATGATGCCATACTATGTCCACATATGTCAAGAGGTGGCAATATATGTCCGGATATTAATGGTGTTGCCAGGTTGGGTGCCCCCCACCATCCAAAGATTTTTTTTTACATATACACATGTGTGTGTAAAGGCCTATAATTTAAATATATGCCATATACATCATACATGTAGATGTGTATGAGCATGTATTAATTTATTTTTATATTGTTTGTTTTTTTCTTCTTGATGTATTTAAAATTAGTAATTGTATGCACTTTTGAGCTGAATCTATGTTTGTATTGTATAGGTAAATGAATTGCATGGTGACCAAGGAGATTTGTCCAACGTTTGAATTCACTAGGAGTTTTACCTTTTTTCATTTTGTTTTTACCAGCAAATTGCTTGTCTGTGAAAGTTGCAAATGGAGCCACCCCCTCCCATTTGGCTTAAAATGGCATCAGTTTATGCAAGTAATTATATTAATCCACCTATTAATTAAAGTAACAATGTTTATCTATAGGCGGTTATTAATACAGCATTGTCTTCTCAATGGTTAAATAATCTACTTCATCGTGTCACCCCTCCCTCCTTACAGGGTTTGTCAATTTGTACTTAAAAGACTGTTTAACTTTAATTAACCATTAATTTAACATGCAAAAACCAATTTTCTTCTGTGGACTTTGCATTTTTTGCCTTGGTGTCACCCGATATGACTGCATCCCCTGCCCCGTGACACTTCTGTCACATTTGACAAGTGGTAGCATTACATGATGCCATGTTATGTCCACCAATAACTAGTGGTGGCATTATGATGTCATGCAATGTCCACATATGACAAATAGTAACATTATGCCATATCAACATTATATAGAAGAATGATGAGTGGTTATGTATGAAGTGAAACTTAAAGTAAACAAAGTTTATATAACAGAACTGTATTATATTAAGATCTTCAAAACTATGAATTTCAAGAAATCAGTTTCCCACCCCCTCTCCATACATCAACACAAAAAGCCAAACGCTCTACACACCTCAGCCTACAAACTAAATCCCCTTCAAATTTTTTTTAAAACATCTATTTCTTTCTAAAACATTCACAGAGCTTCATGAGTATAGGGCCTATTTAACCAAGTTTATATAGGCCCTGTGTATTCATTTCTAATCCAACTAATACAAAAATAACTTCCTAAAACCCAAATTATTAAAAAAGAATCTCGTAAAAAAAAGAATTGCACACCAAGTGAAGGTCAAACAAAATGTGTATAATAGTGCGGGATATTATTAGTACTTTATAAATTCACATGCCTTTTTTTTAGAAATCGGAAATAGCATAAAGACAAAATTGCAAAACTTTGTTTTACCGACTCATGCGTAAAGAGTCGAGATATGTGAAGATCTCAATTTTTTTTTGCACGATTACAATACTTCCTCTATCAGGGATGTGACCAGACCAGGAAAAAATATTAGGAAATTTTTCTTCAGACAAGAACTCAACGTTTTATCTATTTTTTTAATCGCAGTTAAAAGCAGTCTCACATCGTTACTGTACTAATTAAATGTTTAATGAAGCTAATATTTTAAATACAAGGAGTTGATGTTACTCTTACACTCTAACATAACAATGAAAGTCTTGTCTAATTGCAATTTAATGTTTACCTTATAAACAACCTTTAAAAAATTTACAATTTTATTTTAACATTTAGCTAATTTAAACTGTACTAATCTAGTGAAGTTGTACACTTGTTTTCAATTTTAAATTATGCCTTATATTCTTTTAAAGATTGGCATGGTAAAAATGTTAGTCTTCAACAGTAAACAGCCTAGATTTAGATGAAACCATTTTAATAGCCAAACCACATCGTTATTTATGTTTTTGAAATAGCTGCACATCGTTAGGGGGTCATCTATAAATGACGTCACGTTTTTTTGACGATTTTTACCTCCCCTCTATGCTCCGTCACAAAAGACAGACCCCCCCCCCCCTAAAATGACACACAATCCAGCCAACAACCGCTACACCTCACCCCTCCTCAAGATTGAATTTTTTAATCACCGATTTTTTTTTCTAAAATATTGACTGAGCTCGACCAACACAGGGTATTTCAATCAATTTCTATTAAACTTTTTTAAAAGCAGTTTTCTAAAACGCGTAAAAGCGACTAAAATTAAGTTTCTACTGTTACTTTTATTAAAAACATAAAAATAAAATTATGACGTCACACAAGCTGAACCCCCCCCCTCCCCTACGATTGTGACGTTACTTATGTAATCGCGTTGGGTTCAGTTTTTTTTTTAAACTGTTAGCCTACAGCTATTAGAAATCGACTGTGACGTCATTTTTATCCCCCCCCCCCCCCCCACAAGCAGCACCAAACACGTACACGGGGTCATGGTGAGGTCACAAGAGCCACCGTTGCTACAAGCAAGGGCGGGTTAGCCTTGTCCTCATAGTCACCTTTTGCAAGGATTTCAATATTAATTTGAGATTACTAAATAAAATAGAATCAGAGAGAAACTAGATTTGGGCAGGTTAAAATACCAATAGATAAATTATGCAACATCGATAGCTAGATTACCAGGCTTGGGCGATGCAAGTTTCATTTGAGCAACGGCATTATTTTAGAGTACTTTTTCCAGTGTTTTTTTAAAATAAATATTTAACTGACAATATCAGCGGAAAATTTGGACTAAAAATGTGCGTTCTGAAAAAATTGTAAATCCGCCAAAACTCTGAATCTTGACCTAGATCTACATTTCATCTTAATCTAGCACCATCACACCAGTCACACATAGCGCATATTTGAGTGTCCGTTAGACCTATGTACTGAAAGTTACTTTAAGTCTCGATTTAAATACGAACTTGTGGAAAACGCACGTCGGCCTTTTCCGTAGAGGTCGTTTCCGTTTTTTTCCTAATTTTTAAAACTTCGTACAAAATCGGCAAAAATCGAAAATCGGCGGAAAAATTCGGTGAAAATGAAATCCTCGGAGGAAAATTGCAGCTGAAACGGAAAAATCGGATTTCCGATAAAATTCGGAAAAGTCACATCCCTGCTCTATACTTCAAATACGAGAAAGTAAAAAAACCAAAACAGTATGACGTCACATTTTCTAGACCCCACTCCCTCTTGTCACTATATTCTTAACCCTCACCCACCCTGAATGCAATGTCACTTATAGACCAACCTTACAAAATAAATATCATTCTGCTCATTAGTAGGAGAGTCATGAGTTTAAGAAATTAGATCTAAAAACTAGAAACTCTAGATATTTAAGTTCTAGACTAGACTACCACTAATTAACTACACTCTAGAATTAGATATATTATAGAATCTAGGCCTAGAGATCTATAGAATCTAGGCCCTATTCATTTCTAGGTCTAGCAATGAATCTTGACTTGGATGAAGATTAAGGGGTCAGCCATAAATGACGTCACGCTTTTTTTGACAATTTTTACCCCCCGCCCCCCCATCCGTCACAAAAAGCCAGACCCCCCCCTAAAATGACATCACTCCTCAGCCTAAAAGCCCCTCAAAATTGCAGTTGTATTTTTTTTTAAATCGATATTTTTTTCTAAAATCTTGTCTGAACTCTGTCAAAATAGAGTATTTTAATCAATGAAGTGACTACTCGGAAGAAGATTTTTCTCCTCAACGTCTTCACTTAGTCGGCAAAAGATAGCTCTGCGCATGCGCAGTGACCTATGGCTAGGGCTAGAATTAGGATTACTGGTTAGGATTAGGGTTGGTGTAAGGGTTCGGCGGTTGTAAACACGCATGCGCAGTACCATAAAAAATATCGCCGCGATGGCCTAAGTCGTAGTTTCTCTCCATTGCGCATGCGTATCTTTTTCCGGCTAGCATCGGCCTTTAATCAATTCTTATTACAATTTATTAAAACAGTTTTCTATAACGCGAAATAACGTCTAAAATTAGTTTTCTAACATTGCCTTTTTATAACGAAGTGTCTACTCGGAAGAATATTTTTCTCCCCAACGTCTCCACTTAGTCGGCAAAAGATAGCTCTGCGCATGCGCAGTGACCTATGGTTAGAGTTAGGGGTAGGATTAGGGATAGGGATAGGATTAGGGCTAGAGTTAGGGCTAGGATTAGGGATAGGGTTAAGGATAGGATTAGGGTTGTTGTTAGGGTTCTGCGGTTGTAAACACACGCATGCGCAGTACCATCGAAAACATCACCGCTAAGGCAAGTTGTAGTTTCTCTCCATTGCGCATGCGTATCGCATGCGTATCTTATTCCGGCTAGAATCGGCCTTTTTATAATGCAAAAGTGTGCAGTTGCACCATCTGAACCCCTCCCCCCATCACACATCGTCACGTCACAAAATTACGGACTCCCCCTCCCCCCTACGAGTGTGACGTCATTTATGGACGACCCCTAAGTGCAATAAACATAATCTACATTTTTTTAATTCTACATCCTAATCCACTAAATCCAGATCCCTAGATCTAGAAATCTAGAAGATTAGACCTGTAGATCTGTTGCATAAGGCATAAGACAATTCTTAAGGACTTAAGACGATTAAGTCTAGATCTAGATATATTATATCTAAATAATAAACTTATAATAAACTAATAGACTAATACTAATACTAGTAATAGGCCTACCTAAATCAAATAAAAACAGGCAAAATGGCGGCACGTTTAGTTTTTCTTTTACAAATTTTTAGCGATACAACATGGACGCCGCTGCCAATGTAATTTAAATGCATAGATCTAGATGGCCATTAAATTAAGAAATGCAGCAAAATGTAGTTACCCATTCCTTCAGAGCGATCCATTCATGGAGCTCTCTAAATGAATGATAGACACTCAAAATAAATTCAACTCTTGTTGTGATAGCTCGTTTACCTCGAAACTGCTGTGAAACTTAGTACCCAGAATGCAACTCTAAGCATAATGTGGCCTATCCTGCTCAAAATTGATTTAATTTTCACACTTCGACTAACACTGTTCTTTTTTTTTACTTCAGAATAAATATTTTATAATAGCGTTAGGTTTAGGTTAGTTGTATTTTCTATCTTATTATCAGCGAATGATAAAAATCATCATTTAAATCAGCACAAACGTATGGGCGTGTCCTACACCGTTCGCTCTGTCAAAACCTAGACCAACTTCCTCCGTCATGAAACTGGGGTCACTAGTTCAAGGTTCGTAGGGTTCAAAATGACGTATACAAGGCTACAAACTGCACTAGGTCAAATCCCATAGAAATATTATACTCCTAGGTTGCTAGGAATTAAAAATGATATGTTATATATTTAGTTAGATTGAAAGATACATTTCTATCTATTTTAACCTCTTCGTACTTTTATTTAAAAAAGATTAAGCAATTTGTTAAATAGCCCATCACTGTAGTAGGCCAAATGAAAAAAAAAAACCCTCATAAAAACGTTTTAATAACAAGCTATTATGTAATAATGCAATAAAAAAATGAAAATAAATTATACACTACTATTTAAATAACTATAAAGAAAAACGTTGGTCACTTTAGTATCTATTGGATACTTTTACTAATATTTAGGAAGATATTTCCTCCACTAGATCTAGATCTATACTAGCGTCCCCGTCCCCGCGCGTTGCCGCAGGAATAGAAGAAAGTCCGACAAAATATATAAGAAGGGTTTAATCTAACTATGCGTTACCAATCCTATATTCTTAGAAGCATGACTGTGTTTTCTAAGTGAGTTATTTAAATGTAAACAATGCCTGCGCTTGGATCTTAAATATCGGGACACGGGTGTACTTACACTACTTCGTAAAAACCTTGAGTGTACATTAATAACTCACCGAAATAATCAGATAGAACACACTTTGGTCACCGCCCATGTGTCAGGGACGTAGAGGGGCGCTCTCAGGAGCCCCCCCCCCGATTACACTGAGCCCCTGGCTCCTTAAAACTAACAGGCGCCATAGTGCCAAAAAGCATCCTGTTAACAATGATGCAGATTGCGTCATTTGCTAAAGTGACACAAATGAACAGGATTTTTTCCTCAGCACGTAAAAAAATTATTTGACGTGTTTTAAACATCAGTGTGACTGATGCAATATGTTAGCGTTACTAATGGTCTATTATTAGAAGCTCGATCTCAATTTCTCATTGGATTATCTAAAAATAGTTGCTAATTGCATCATTCGCAAAGTGACGAAACTGTTGGGATTTTTTACGGACAAAAAGAAACATCCCAGTTAATAATCTAACCTTGGTTAATTTTTCTGATTATTAAAATAAAACGTATTACATGGCCCTCAGCGGCCCATGTGAGCCTTTTGAGCCGAAACAGACATTTTTATTTGCAGTCTAATCGACCGGCAGGATGCGATTTGGCGCCCTGGTCTTTCCGGTGAGCGCTATGGCGACTACTTTCGGTGTAAACAGTGTGATAGACAATGGATAGGATGGGGCTTTACAAACGCTCACTAAATTGAATACGCTAGTACGCTAAATCTCTATACATTTTCTCTATCAAGTTCATTGCTTTAATTTTTTTTCAATAAGCGATAGCTTACAGTTTCAATAACTAATTAGTAAAATAGCATAACTGTTCACCATTAAAGCAGAACAATTGTAGCATATCCTAACTTCATATTTCGAATTAATTATTTTAGTCTGAAGCAGAACTTCACTCACCACAGTGACCTCACCATGTCATGGGTACAAAAAGCAAGATATTGTCCCTAAAACGACAAAGATATTGTCCCTAAAACGACAAAGATATTGTCCCTAAAACGACAAAGATATTTGCCATAAAACGACGGAATAATAAGAAAGAAATTGTCCCAAAAACTTTACGTCACAAGGAAGAAATTGTCCCAAAAAATAAATGACGCAAGAAAAGGAAAACAAGTTAACCCTTTATCTACTGACGGTACTTATAAGTACCACTTTAATTAAATGCCTGTATTATTTTTAATTTAATACGAATTTTAAAAAATATTGAAGTAATTAATAGTATTATCTCCCCTGAGTCGCCGGTAGTCGGAGGTATCATTGTTTTTTGAAAATTACTGGTGTGACGCCATTTTCAATGTCTTGCTATATCGGTAGTTCACAATTTTTCTGTACATTTCTCACATACGTTCTTGATTTCCCTTTGTTTTACCTTATTTTTCAAGTTTTCAACCCCAAATATTTTTTATTGGCAACTTCAATAGTCAGGCAAACGCATTTAACTTCTAGTTATACAATTTTAATCAAATTGTCTTTGTATTAGATCGATGTTTACAAGTGGACTTATAAGTACCGTCAGGGCACACGGTCATTTTTAAAGATTTTTAGAAAATGGCAGATTTTTTATGTGGAGTTACATAAATATTGTCTTGATAATTAATTATCGAAATGTACTCAAAAAATGATATTTACACATTTATAAGAAGTTTAGCATATGGTTTACCTAAGAAATATTGTAATTATATGTTAATTTCTAGTAGTAAAAAATTAACAAGAATAAAGGTATCAGTTGCAGACTCATTTACAAGGTTTAGTTTACTTCATTTGTATACCAAAGCCTAGTTCTAGTTGTAAGATTTAATTTGTTAGTTATAATTACTGCACTAAACTGTCTTGCCTACAACAACTAGCATTTACGTAATGTATACATGTAGGCTAGTAATAGTCCATACTTCTGCATATAGTATTGATCTATATGGTAAATTTTAATCAGTAAACAGAAAGGAGTAGGCCACTACGGCAATCCTAAACACATTGAGCTCACTTCTATTTATGAACTTTGCACTGTAGTCTAGACTTGTCATAACATTCTAGTAGGCTACAATTATACTAGTATTACTTGTAGTTGCGTGCTGAATGACTAGGCTTTTGTTTGTTAATGCTGCTCATTGTACTAGCTATTGGAAGCTTCCAGCAAAAGCATGTTCATTCCGGCAACCGTTGCTACACCAGAAAGACCATAGACAAGATTGAGGGAGCATGACATGTCGACTACTTTTGCTGTGTTTGAGGTCTAAGATGTGTTCCGATAGAAAATCCAGTAAAAATCATACTCAAAATATACTTTTGTGCTGTATTTATGTGTGAAAATTACAAAAAACGATTGTTATAATGATTGCCATGTTATTAGTTAATAGAATGTATCGTTTGTTCCTGTTTTGTAAAAAAAAAATTTTTGAAAAAAAATGTCCTAGTTTACTGACGGTACTTATAAGTACCAATATCTGTTTGGGCCATTAAAAATTTATGAAACGAAATTTCCTTTGATATATGCTTTGAATGTGCCAAAAGCAATATAGTAACACACTGTTTAAGTAAAAATCTCATTCAGAACATAATTCCGTAAATAAAGGGTTAATTAAAAAAGTCTAGTGACATTTGTGCGCAATTTCCTTATGTTATCTAAAAATAGCTCTGACGTATAATGTTGGGGTGCGTTCAAGCTAGAAGAACGATCGGTTTGTAGGTGTTTATGTAATTTTAAAATTTGTGACCGAACGAGAGGATATTTTTGAAAACTTTCTTCGGCAATATTATTTTAAATTATGGCAGGAATCGATTGGTACATGTTTCAAATCGCTAAGTGGTCTGGTTGCCGAGATATGGGCCAAAAACTGCATTTTTTCGAGGTTTTTTGGCTTTTCCGGGAAATACATGAAAGAAACCCGGAATTTTTATGGCCTATGCTCATTCTCGTAACATGCTTAACATAATTGCTTTTGTAACTAGTCATCGATATTGCTTCGTTGAGGAGGAGATACGACTTAAAGCCCGGACACACATTCATCCATACATTCATTCATCCATCCATCCATTCCCAGAAATGACGAGTTAATAAACGCAATTCTCCAGAATGGAAATTGCGCTAAAAATCCATTTATAAAACGCATCGACAGAAACATGACATTTTAACTAAAAAGACATCAAAAGAGAGAGGACATTTTCGCTAAATATACATTAAACGAGACAGGACATTTTCACTAAAACGACATCAAAAGAAACCGGACATTTTCACTAAAACGATATCAAAAGAAACAGGACATTTTCACTAAAATGACATCAAAAGAAACCGGACATTTTCACTAAAACGATATCAAAAGAAACAGGACATTTTCACTAAAACGACATCAAAAGAAACATGACATTTTCACTAAAACGACATCAAAAGAAACAGGACATTTTCACTAAAAAGAAGCCTTAACAAGGAAGACAGTCCTGATTTCATAAAAAAGATATGGTCCTACTTTAAAGTAGCCTACACAGAGATTAGCTCTATGTTGCTGATATAATGTAATCTATACTGGGACACCTGTTGTTTGAGTTTGTTACCCACCCCCACCTCATTAGCCAAATACAAGATTTTAATTAAAGACCTTAAAGTGAATTAGGTCACAAATAAAAGCAAACAAAGTCGATGTTATTTTTGTGAATTTTGATTCAAAATTTGTAGCTACTTTTTACTGAGTCTACTAAATATTTATAATACTGTTTTAACATCTACTCGTATTCACTGCAAAATATCAATGCCAGGGGAGAAAACCAACAATTTATTTTGCCTGTCAAGGGAGAGTACCAAATTAACAGTAACTATCAAAGGCTGCACAGTTTTCTCCCTTGAAAAATTGTTTTTCTATTTCATAAACTGGAAAGTATGTTAGCTTTGTGCTTTATGTTGACAAAAACTATCCTCAACTTAAAGTAAAAAAACAATAAACAAACAACTTTGTGCAAATGCTAGTGCATGAGGGAAATTATTTTATATGGAACTTGTCTAATCAAATATTTTTAGAAAAAATGTTTAAAATTGTCAAAAAAAGTATTTTGAAATGCAATATTTGTGATAAAATTCAGTTTCATTTTTAAACGTTCATGCGTGTGATGTCATACTTTCAAACAATCCACTGACTATTGGAAAAATAGACTAAAACAATCCACTGACTAGTGGAAAAATAGACTAAAACAATCCAATCAGAGGAAAAAATAGACTAAAACAATCCACTGACTTGTGGAAAAAATAGACTAAGACAATCCACTGACTTGTGGAAAAAATAGACTAAGACAATCCACTGACTTGTGGAAAAAATAGACTAAGACAACCACTGACTTGTGGAAAAAATAGACTAAGACAATCCACTGACTTGTGGAAAAAATAGACTAAGACAATCCACTGACTTG